CAAGGTGCTCCCTGCAGCCCCCAACCCCCAGAGGTGACCTGGGCCTCCTGCTCCATTTCTGACACCCCTTGGTGACTTCTTGAAAATGGGGAAATGGAGGCTAGGCATCGTGTTGGCTGACTGAGCAGTGGGGCCCCCTCCTCCCCCAGGTCAGTCAGGTTTTCAGCCTTTACCCTGATGTAAAAATCCCAGTACTGGTGACCTGACCTCACAGGCCCCAGGTGTCCACATACTCAGAGAGCCTCTGACCCTCACCGTGGATGGGAGGTGAGGCTGGGAGGGACCTTGAGCCAGATTCCAGAGAGGATGGTAGGAGCAGAGCCAGCAGTACTGAGTAGGGGGGCCTTGGGGTGAGGGCCCCGTCCTGACCCATTGCCTTGGCTACCACTCCCCACTCAGGGAGCTGAACCAGCCGGCCTTGGTTAGATCCTGGGCCAGGTGACCAGGTGCTCTCCTTCCCGAGGAGGGTGGGACCAGGTGGGCCGTGGGAAAAGCTGGAACATAAGGGGTGTTTAAGTAAATCACAGTGCAGCCACCAAAAGTGACACACACACACACCGTGCGCATTAGTGGAGAACAAGCAATTAGGATTCAGAGTCAAAAACAGGCAGAAAAGTCTAATCATGCAGAAGATGAACTTCGATGGCAGCAGGTCTCCTTTATGTGTAAGATTACAGCCGGTTCCTTTTCATAGGCTTCTGTATTTCCCAATTTTGTACAATGAGCATGTGTTACTTTAACAACCAGAAACTCACTTTATGGGAGAGCGCGGGCCTGGGAGCCAAGTGGGACAGGTTTGGGGGCACCTTGGGCAAAAGAGGCCTCTTCCCAGACCCCACTGTCCTTGTCACAGGCTAAAGGTGGCAACTCCCAGCCTCTGGGGTCAAGGAGATGGCAGGGCGCTCCTCCTGGTGGATAGATTTTGAGGGTACCCCCAACAACCTGCATGGTGCAGAGTGAAGGGGATGGTCAGGGCTGGCCCAGTGCCAGGACAGTGCCAGGTGCAGCAGCCCGGGTGAGGAGACACCAGTGTGACCTCCATGAGTGTCACCAGGGGGGCAGCAATTGGCCTGTGGCCCCTCTATCCTGGGCCCAAGTCGGTCCCTGATGGTTGAGTGAGACCGTGTGGCCAGGCCCAGCCACCAGGTGGCGCTGTGGGCACCTGGGTTCGGAGGGCTGGAGTCTGAGGCCAGCACTCTGCCCTCAGGTCTGGGCATCCCGCAGCTCCTGGAGGCCGTGCTGAAGCTGCTGCCACTGGACACCTATGTGGAGAGTCCGGTGAGGGCCCCTTTTCCAGACCTCAGAGGGCATCCCTGCCTTGGGGGGGTTGGGGGAAGGATGTGTCCTCAAAGGGTTCTAACCCTGATCAGAAGAGCCCTAACCATCACCCAACAAGGGGGGCCTGGAGGCACCCGGGGACAGACTGGCCCCTCTGTCCCAGGCTGCTGTCATGGAGCTGGTGTCCAGTGACAAGGAGAGGGGCCTCCAGACCCCGGTGTGGAAGAGCTACCAGTCCATCCTCTTGGAGGCTGGCTGCTCGGTGAGCCTGCTGCCCCCGAGAACGGGGTTGGGACCCTCTACACTTCCTTGGAGGCCTGGGAGGAAGGAAGGACAGGCTCCAAACTCTGCCCCATGGTTGTGTGAGCGCCTATTCACCCGCAGTGGGAGCGTGACCGTGGGACCACCCTCCGGCCCCCAGCTTCCTATGTTTTCCCAGGATCCTGACCTGTCTGCCTAGGGGCCCTTACCCATCCCAGCCTCTCCAAGTGGAGCCAGGGCAAGTAGGGTACCCCAGGCCCCCATCTTGTGGTCAGAGGCCTGGTCTGATTTTGTGTGACATCCCCGACACCATCCCACCCTGCAAGGGGTCGAGCCTGTCCTCCCGGGACCACCCACACAGGCAGGTCTTGGGTAGGACTTACCTGAAGAGAGGACATCTGGGTCTCCTGTCCTGGACAGTGGCTCCCCTACCCCACCCCTGGGGCAGATCAGAGGGGCTCAGGGATCCCAGGCAGGCGGCCACCAAGCACAGCAGGCATCTCACCCACCACAGCCTGCCTCCCTCCCACTCACCCCCCACCCCACCCCCAATGCCTGGTCCTTGCAGGTAGGAGGCCGAGCATTCTTGGGACTCTGGCCTGGAAAACCAGAGAAATGAAGCTCAGAGAGACCATGCCTCCTGATGCCCCTGCTGGGCCCGTGGGGTTTCTGGGCAGGGTCCCTCAACCACATTGGTTTGCCTTCCAGAGCCCCCTTGAGAAGATAGAGAGGTTTGAGTTTTATCAGCAAGCCAAGAAGGCTTTTGCTGTTGTAGCAACTGGGTGAGTTCTGGCTGGATCCACTGGGTCCTGATGGGTTGCCTGGGTCTAACTGGGTCTGGGCTGAGTGTGAGGCCCTCCCTCTCCCCACTCCAGAGCTCCCCCACCCTTTGCTCGGCCCCTGCCCCCTTGAGACAGATGGTCCCCAGGGAATGGGGTCACTGAGCTGTCCAGCGGTGGTGCACAGCAGGGGTCTGGGCACCCTGGCTCGGCTCTGGGCTCAGCTCAGCTCCTTGTGCAGGGAGACGGCTCTCTACGGAAACCTCATCCTCAAGAAGGGGGTGCTGGCCCCCGAAGCCCTGTTCTAGACGGGTGAGGAATCAGGACCCCTGAGCCCAACAACACTACCAGCAGGCCCTGCCCTCCTGGCAGCACGCAGATCTCACCCACCCAGGGCGCGTGACCGGCAGGTCCTTGGGGGGCTGCTGATCGGCTGGAATTCCCTCTATCTGAAAAATGATGGAGCCCAGCCGGTGTGGCTCAATGATTGAACCAAGAGGTTACTGGTTCTATTCCCAGTCGGGGCACATGCCTGGGTTTCGGGCTCAATCCCCAATGGGTGCATGCAGAAGATGGTTGATTGAAGTTTCTCTCTCATCAATGTTTCGATCCCTCTACCTCTCCCTTCCTCTCTTTTTAAAATCAATAAAAAAAATATTTTTTAAAAAGAAATATGGAAAAGTGTCAATGTTCAGTCCAAAGTTTTAAGCAACAGTACCATTCTCACTCACAAAGGCAGAGCACAGAGAGGCTGCTGGCTCCCGAGGGCAGCCCCCAGGTGCCTGAGATGAAGCCTCAGATGGGAAGTAGGCCTCCACCTCCCAATAGGTTTGGGCCTCTTGACTTGGTGAGTTCCTGGGTGTGAGACCAGAGGTCACACAGGTAGACACCCTCCTGCAACCTAAGGACCTGGGGACCTGGGTGGGGGGCTATGGTGACCGCACACTGCAGGACTGGAGGTAGGTGCAGCCACCACTCAGGTGGCCCTGAGTGGAATGGAGGCTTATGCATCAGTTCCTCCAGCTGCAGACACTGGGGTGGCCCTTAGAGAGGGGACCAAGGCCCTTTCTTCAGCCCCAAAGGCAGGAAGGCAGGTGGCAGGGCTGATCTGGAGGTGGTGCTGGTGGGATGGGGGTAGGATGGCCCTGGGTGGAGGGCTTGAGCTGCCTGGGGTGCCAGCTGGGCCCCATGCCTGTGTGTCCCTCAGCCCAGTGGTTGAGTGCCTACTGACTAAAGCCTGAGCTGTCCTGGGAAATGAGGGTGGCGTGGTGCAAAGGATGGGAGGATAGGGGCTGCCCAGGCAGAGGGCTGGCCTGAAGGGAGCCTGTGAGTCTCTGATGGCACCCGGCGAGATGCTCAGACTGGGTCTCAGGTTGGAAGAAATTCCCGCCAGCCATTGTCCCAGACTCCAGGGTCTCTCCCTGAGGTCCCTCTTCCTCCAGACCTTCCTACAGCCATGTGAATGTGGGAGCTGGATGACTGGGGGCTCCTGGGTCTCTGTACCTCAGGGCTTGGCAGAGGCTCCATGTGGGGACTGGTGTCCTGACCTCTCAGAGAGGCTGGGGGGCTGGCAAGCCCATTGAGTGAAGATCTGGGGTTCAGCCTGGGGAAGGGACTCTGTCTTGGGCCCATCACTGCAAGGGCTCAACCTCAGACCCCATGGCCACTGCCAGGCACACAAGGGCCTTTCTTTAAACAGTTTTATTGAGGTTTGATTGACCAATGGTAAACTACACATTTCAAATGTACAATGAAATATATTTGGACATCACCCTGGCCATTGCAGCTCAGTTGGTTGGGTGTGGTCCCATGCACTGAAAGGTGTTGGGTTCAATTCTTTGGTGACAGGAATGCTTGCCCATTTTGTATTGGCACCGAGGCCTTTAATGAATCTGGTCACCAATAACAATGACCAACTGGCTGTAGGCTGGAGGTTCTCATGACCCCCTGCTTGGGTTGGACCAAATTGCCAGAGCAGTTCAGAGAACCCAGATACGTTTTACTCACTGGATCACTGGTTTACTATAAAAGGATACAACTCGGGAACAGCCAGATGGAAGAGATGCATGGGCAAGGTCTGGGGAAACGTCCCCCCAAATCTCCATGTGTTCGCCAACCTGGAAGCTCTCCGAACCCTGTCCTTTCGGGTTTTTATGGAGGCTTCATTACACAGGCATGATTGATGGAATCCTTAGCCCTGGTGATTGGTTCAACTTCCAGCCCCTCTCCCTTCCTCTGAGGTCAGGGGGTGGGACTAGCAAACTCATAGAGATGACTATCATTTTTTTAAAAAAAGACAGACAGTAGCAAGTGCTGAGGAGGGTGTGTGGAGAAACTGAAGCCTCATACATGGCTGGTGGATGTACCATGGTGCAGCCACTTTGGAAAAAAATTTTATTTTAGCATTTTCTTTAAAAGTGAAATGTGAACTACCATCCTACCTCGCAACTCCACTCCTAGGTACCCACCCAAGAGAAATGAAGCTGTGTCCGCACAAGGACTCCAAGAGCATCCATGCAACATGAACAGACAAAACCAGGAACGGTCCAGAGGCCTGTGTGGATGGATGGATAAAAGGAGGCCCATCTGAACATGGGACGGTATTCAACAGCAAAAGGGGTGGAGCGCTGATCCACCATCGCTGTCCTCCAGCTGTGAGCGGGGCTGAGTCCTTGAGGGAGGGGGGTCATGTCCCCCATGACACTCACCAAACACCTGCTGAGCGCCTTCTCTGCCAGCACCGAGCAGGTGCCGGGGCAACAGTGACCAGGAGTGACTGGCTTGCCCAAGGAAAGCGGACAGCCCCGAGCTCCAGACGCTGAAACAGGAGAAGGAGGCCCTCCTCTGAGTGGGTGGGGGCCAAACCCAGCTGGATCTCAACCCAGTGGACCAAGGCAGGCGGGAGGGAGAGTCTGAGAGCCTGACGGAAGCCAGGACTGAGAGCCCCGACACGCCCAGGTGCAGGAGCAGTCAGGCCTCAGCTGGCCAGAGCGCTGTGCCCTGCGTGAGGTGTGTGTGCGCGCACGCGTCGGAGGGGGTGTGAGGCTGTGGTGCCCGGTGCAGCTCGGGTGGGGGGCAGGCTCCGGGCTCCCCTCCCCCAGCCTGCGTCTCCCCAGCAACAGCAGCCTCGGTCTGGGGCTCGGCCCCTCCCCCGCCCCACCCCGACTGCGGCTGCGAAGCGTCTGGAACCGCATCCTCCTCCGGAGACCGCATTCTGCCGCAGCAGCGCGTTGGAGCCGCTTGTGAGCCATTTCCACATTTATCCCTATGGAGCCCTGGGGGTGGGGTGAGGGCGGCGGTAGGCGGGGGTGTGCGGGTGTGCAGGTGCGTGTGCAGGAGGAGTGTATGGAGGGGAGCCCCGTGGCGGACCGGGGTCCTCCTGTGGGGTCTGCGCTGACCCGGACGACTGGGGGGCCGGCGGGGCGAACTGCGGCCTGGACCGTCCAGAAGGGCCGCGGTGTCTCGCCTCGCACATCCCCCGTCCTCAGCGGAGCGGGGAAGCTCGGGTGGGTTAGGACTGCTGGACATCAGCCCCCGCCATGGTGACCGCAGCCCCTCCCCGTGACCGCCGTGACCGGCTCCAGCCCCGCAAATTTGAGTCAGGGGTTGCGGCCATCCTGAGATGGGGGGGGGGGCAGTTCCAGGACCCCAGTCTGTTTGGGGGGGGGGTGTAGGGAGAGGGGAGTAAGGGGTTGACCAAGGAGCGTCGCGCCCCAGCACCGAGAAACGCTTCGGGCTTCGGGAGGGGGTGGGGCGACTGCGTGGGGCCAGGAGCAGGGAGGGGAGTCTCGGAACCACCTGCCGCGGCACCTCTGGGTGCCGGCCACAGGTGACGGACTGGGACGTGGGAAGCCAAGGCCGGGTGCAGCCCTAGGTCTCCCCACCCCACCGCACCCCTCCCCGCTCCTGGGCCCTCGGGGCTGGGCTGCTAGCCCAAAGTCAACCTGCCCTTGAAGCAGGAGCCAACCCCACGCTCGGCCTGCAGGGCGAGGGGCAGGAGGGCGGCTGGGCGGGGGGCGGGGTGGGGGGCGCTGCTGGGTTCCCGCTAAGATCGCAGGCCCCCGCGCTACGCAGTTGCAGCCCGAGGCGCGCGGAGGCTGGTGCCCGTGCGCAGGGGCGCGCGCCTCCTGACGCAGCATCCCCGCGGGGGGTGCGACAGCGAGTCGGTGACGTGACCTGTATCCGAGCTTCGTGGCTCCCACCTAAGAGCCCGTGGCCACCCCCATCCATCCCCCCATCAGCACAGACTTGCCGCTCATCCTATAGCCCCTCCCCAAGCCTCGGAGAGGAGGCTGCACCGCCCCCCCATCCCCCGCATCCTCCCAGGAGCCAGCAGCGGGTGGGGAGCCGGCGACCCCCGAGAAGACACAATTGCCGCGGGTGTGGAAGGAGGGGAGCTGGCGGGAGGATAGAGACGACCCCCACCCCCCGCCCCGTTCCGTGGACTTCTGTGTCCGTCATGTGAATGCGCTCCCCCCCCCGCCCCCTCGCCCAGTAGGTCCCGTGACAGCGAAGGAACGGCGTGTTGGGGGGGGAGGGGGTACCTAGCGCAGCCAGCCCCTCCCCCAGCATTCTGCCCCTCTGCCCTGGCACGGGGCCTGGAACTAGACGCGAAAGGTCCAAAGGGCCCCAAATAGCTTCTCCTCAGGAAGACCAGGCATCAAAAGCTCATCTCGTTGCTGTGGAAACCCGCGATGACGTAACGGGGACGTCAAGCTGCGTTGGACCTTACGTTTGGCTCAAAGGGGACCGACCCCAGAAGCGGAGCTCCTTATGGGGGTGGGTGGGGCCCTCGGCCTTCCAGCGGGCACGGTCGCCCACCTGACACAGACCGCGCTCAGTTCTCAGCCGCAGGCCGGGGTTTTTGAGCCAGATGGGGCGTCCACTGCGTGAAGGCCTCCAGGCTCCTTCCCGGGGTGGCGCACCCCTGGCCCCCCCACCTCCCCTCAAGCCCTGGGCACTCGCCGCCCCACCTCCCACCGCCCCCTCATCTGTATCTCCAGAGGTCTTCGCGGCGGGGGTTCTATTTCTTCCTCGCACTGGGCCTCTTTATATTTACTCTGATGGCTGCCCGACCACCTCTGCGTCACTGAGCGCTGCAGGGGCCGCGTGACGAATGCCCGCCCGCCCGCCTGGGCCAGGTGCCCAGGTGCCCAGGTGCCCAGATGCCCCGCGCCATCAGGGCTGAGCCTCGGCCGGGCCCCGCCCCCAGCCTGGGGTGGGCGTTGGGGGCGCTTTGAGGATCGGTAAGGGCCCTGGGATAGGCGCACACCCCCAAGAAAGGGCCTTAGAGTCCACGATGGGGCGGCCTCTCTCTGCCCAGCCTGCGGCTTCCAGTCCGCATTACAGTGGCGGTTCCTGACTGCCCACCCCACCCCACCCCGCCCGCCACACACGTCCCGCACAGCCGTGGACTCCTTCCTTGCCCGGCATCTCTCTGCCTCTCTGCCTGGACAGGCCTCCTCCTCTGTTCCCACCCTGCCTGCCCACACCTGGAACCCGCTGGGGCATGCGACAGTGGTCACCGGAGGCCCTGGTGGGGCTGTTACAGGGAGAGTGTTTGGGGGTGGTGATGGTTTTCTCATGGAGGTCCTTTTCATCTCTTGTTAGACCTATTACTGAGCAGTTGCTATTTCTGATACTGTTTAAGGAATCTTTCAAAAAAAGCATTTTCTAATTTTTTGTCACTGATATATAGAAATATAATTGATTTCTGAATACCTTAAGTCCACCAGCTTGCTGAGCTCTTTTTAAAAATATGTTTATATTGATTTTAGAGAGAAAGGGAGAGATAGAAACATAGATGTTACATCAATCGGCTGCCTCCTGCACTCCCCCTGCTGAAGATTGAGCCCACAACCCAGGCATGTGCCCTAACTGGGAACTGAACCAAAGACTTCTTGGTTTATGATGTCTACACTCAACCACTGAGCCACACTAAACTCACTTTTCAATCTTCATAATTTACCTGTAGATTCTCTTGGGTTTTCTATTCACAAGAGATGGTTTGCCTGTAAATAATGCGTGACCTTCTCTTGTCCAGGCCTCTCCTCTTCTTCCTTTCCCCTGCCCCACAGCGTGGCTAAGTCCTCTAGCACCATGATTTACAGAACTCATGGCAAAGGGCCTTTTGTCTCCATCTCCCACTCATCCTCCTGACTCTCCCCTCTTGTCAGGGATGCTCGCTTTCCAGGTGGCCCAGCCCTGTGTACACCACTGCTACTCTGTCCTCCCAGCTAGCATTCACCGACGTCCTCTTCTGTAGATCTTGTTACTCTTGCATCTTTAGGAGGGTTGCCAGTTAAAACACAGGATGCCCAGTTAAATTTGAATTTCAAATAGACAACAAATAACTTTTTAGAATCAGTATGTCCTATATTGCATGGGATGTACTTATACTAAAGGTGGAAGAGGAAGAGGAGGAGGAGGAGGAGGAGGAGGAGGAGGAGGAGGAGGAGGAGGAGAAGGAGAAGGAGAATCCTTTTTGTCTGAAATTCAGATTTAACCGGTGTCCTGTATTTGCTAAGTCTGGCCACCCTACCCTCAGGCTTCTATCGGAGATTGTTTTCTGTTGATTGGAGTCACTGCCTTTAGACTGTCCTCTAGCAGGTGAGCCAGTGGAAGACTCTGTTGCCCTTGTGTGTCTGGACAGTCACTGGTCTGAGGTGCCATCCCTGCACAGCTGTGGGGCCCCGAGGGAGCCCAGGGGCCAGGAAGGGAGTTTGGCCTGGCCAGTCACAGCCCACCCCAGCTCTGGTGTGAGGAGCATTGGGGCCAGTCTTCTCTGAACCCACTCTGTCCAGGGCCTGCTGGGGGGACATCTGCTAGGTGGCCAGTGTGCAGTGACCCTGTGTCTGCCTCTGGACAGGACAAGGACCACCATCCACCATGGTGAAGCTGGGCTTCAGCTTCGGGAAGTTCGGCAGAGACCTCGGGTACCAGGATGGAGTTACCATGGACAGCGTCCCTCTGATCAGCCCCCTGGATGTCAGCCAGCTCCAGCCACCATACTCTGACCAGGTGAGTGGCCTGGGCCAGTGGGGGATCCTTATCAGCCTGCACTGGGAAGGTGCAGGAGGGCAGGCTGAGGAAGGGCCAGCTGGGTAGGAACCCAGGGCCACATGCAATCAGCTCCCTCATCCCCCAGAGCCACCCTGTCCTCATCTGTAAACGGGGTAACCTGGCCACAGGTGACTGAAGATTCACGCACCGTTTAGAAGACAGCACCCAGCCCATAGTGCTGCCCAGCGGGGACTCAGCAAGCAAAATTCCCCCCTGTCCTGCTGGGCACACTGTGTCTTGGATCAAGCCAGAGATGGGGTCCTGGGGACAGTGGCTGATGGAGAGGGAGGTTTCAGTGGGAATCTGTGAGAAGCAGAGCTCAGCGTAGCCCTGCCTGATCCCATGTGAACTCCGGAGTATGAGTGACACCAAGAGTTGTCCTAACTGGGGGCAAGGTGGCCATCTGTACCCATATCTGTCAGCTATTGGCTGGGGACCATGAGGACAGCCCCCCCCCCCCTCCCTCAGGCATTGGCTGAGGGCAGTTCTCCAGCGATCTGGGCTTCCATTGCATCTACTTCGGTTCTGGACCCAGTTCTCAGTGGACACCTTGGGAAGGCCCAGTCCTTGCTCCTAGGAACACACAGAGCACGGGACCGCAGCTGCCTGTGCCCTCTATGGAAGGGCCCTCAGTCCTCTGGGACCCAGAAGAGGAATCAGGGTGACTCCCTGGAAGGGGAGGCAAGCTGTGGGGCCACTGAAGGGGAAGCGCCTGGTGGGAAGAGGTGGGACCTTCGGAGCTGAAGGCAGCCAGCAGACAGAGGGGCTCCGTCCATGGTCTGGCCAGGCCTCATGGCTGCCACGGACCCAGCAGACTTGCAGCGCCCACTTTCCCCTGGCCTCAGCTTGTAGTCACTGGAGCCCAGGCACTGGACAGTCCTGGCAGATGATCAGGACCCACACCACTGCTGGGCCGCTGAGCCCCTGCCCCATCCCTTCCCAGCCCTCCCAGCTCAGGGTCCTCCTGGGTCATCTCTTTGCACAGGTGGTCATCAAGACACAGACGGAATATGGACTGCCCTCCACAGAACAGCTGAAGAAGTTCCCAGACATAGAGGCCCAGAAGCTGGCCTCCACCAACCCAGAGGAAGGACGCGGGGTAACCGAACCCTTGCCACCCAGTGCTTCTGGGGGGGGGGGCAGTCCCATGGAGAGTCAGATTAGGATCAAGGTGCTGAGGCAGCCACAGGCCCTGAGCACCCAGGGCTGGGCCAGGTGGGCTGGGCCCCCTTTCTCAGGCTGCTGCTGTCAGGGAAGTTGGACAAGGAAGCGCCCAATCAGAGGCACGGTGGGGTGGGAACGAAGGCTGGGTGCTTAGGGGTGGGGGTGCTGAGGGACTTGAGGCTGAGCAGCGCCAGGCTGACCTGTGGCCAGTGGGACCCAGAGCCCCCCTCCGGCTGCACAGTGGGTGACAGCCACTGTGGGCAATGCGTGCAGCCGCCTTCCCTGCAGGTCATTTGTCTCCTCCTTAGTGACTCGTTGGTTTCCTTTCTTTTAAAAAATTTTTTTTAATTGAATTTAGAGAGGAAGGAAGAAGGAGAGAGAGAGATAGAAGTATCAATGAGAGAATCATTGATCAGCTGCCTCCTGCAAATCCCACACTGGGGATCGAGCCTGCACCCTGGGCATGTGCCCCGACCAGGAATCAAACCGTGACCTCCTGGCTCATAGGTTGACGTTCAACCACTGAGCCACGCAGGCCGGGCTTGTTGGTTTTATACATACTATAGACAGTCGCTTTTCCTGCTAGGGCCTCTGGCAAATATTTTCTCCCACCCTTTTCTTTAGCATTATTAATTTTACGAATAATGATTTCTCTCCTTTTCCCTGTACTATTTCTAAAGCCTTTCATGTTTCCGTAGTAAAACCTGCCCCTTCCCCCTTTTGTTTCTGAGAAGGAAAGCCTCCCCGCCACAGGCTAGCAGGGTCAGTTGGGGGGCTCAGCTGGGTTCGCAGCCCCATCATGAGGACTGTCCCAGGAGCCCAGGCTGGGTTCCGCGCCGCCCCCCCCCCCCCCCCGCCCATGGGTTCCTCTCCTCTCCCTCACCTGCAGATGCCCCCAGCACGTATGCTGGCCTTCGTCATGGCGCTCATGGGCTGCCTCCTGATCATGTACAAGGCCCTCTGGTACGACCAGTTCACCTGCCCGGATGGCTTCCTGGTTCGGGTAAGGCAGGCAAGCTGGGGCCAGAGTGGGGCGGAGGTCCCCAGGCAGAGTACCAGGGAGGGGCCCTGGGGGTCTCCAGGGGAAGCATGGGGACGGGTGCCCCCGGGGGAGCCCAGGGCGTGTCCTGCTCCTGTGGGATTAGGATCTCCTAGCTCCTTGTGCTCCGGTTACCTTCCCAGAAAACATTCAAATCCTCTTTTGAAAGATTCAAGGAAAAGGTGTCTTAGCAAGAGATGCTGTCGTCCTGTGAGTAAGAACCAAGTAAAACCTCAGGGAGGAGGTGCAGGGACAGAGGTGAGCTGGCCACTCAGTCCTCCCGGGTCAGCATCTGCTCTGCACCAGAGGTGCTGCTCTCTCCCTCGCTGACCTGTGCGGGCCTTCTATGTGATATGACATTAACCTTTCCCCACAGTTGGCAAATATTTCCTCCCTTCTCTTTTCTCTCTCTTAACTTTAGTAAGGGTTTTTAGCCTTTTTAGTGTATTTTCCTAACGCCTCTAATTTTTCAGTAGTGAAATTTACTTTCACCCTAACCCCCGAGTTCCTGAGATGGGGCCTGGGAGGCCTGTCTGCATTCCCAGGGGTTCCCTGTCCCCCACTCGCTGGGATTCCCTCCATGTGCTCCGGGTGGGGGTGGGCTGGGGTGGGCTCGCGGAGCCCCTCCCCTTCACTCCTGGGGAGGGGCCACCACCCCCCTTCTGAGAGGGGTTGACGCTCCATGGACCCCCCACTTCTGAATTGGAGGCCAACTTGGGTGGCTGGAAATTAGGGCAGAAACAAATGTATCTCGGGCGATTGTGCGCAGTATTACTGAGCTGCTCCAGAGCAGAAGGGACAGGAAGGCCTAGAGGTCCCGGCCCTCCCCTCCTGGGGCGCACAAATGTGGCTACTGCTTAGTGCTTCGTGGTCGGTGTCATCCAGGGGAGCTCACCCCCATTTGCACACCTGAGCCCAGGGGCAGCCCCACCCCCTGACCCGCCGCGCCCCGCCCCTGCAGCAGCACAAGATGTGCACCCCGCTGTCCCTGGAGATGTACTACGCGGAGATGGGCCCCGAGCGCCACCGCAGCATCCTGGCGGCCATGGGGGCCTACCCGCTGAACCGCAAGCAGGGCACCGAGCCCCCCGTGGTCTGGAGGAAGATCCATCCCGCCTTCAAGGAGGCGCCCAAGGCGCCCACCCAGGCGGGCCCGGCGACCACCGAGGCCCCCGGGAAGCTGGCGGCGGGCGCCGAGAAGGAGGCGGCGCTGAAGGCGGAGGGGAGCGTCCCGCCCCCGGCCCCGGCCCCGCAGTGACGGCCGCCGCGCCCGAAGCCACGAAGCCCCGTAGGTGAGCCGCTGGACGGGGACTCTGGCCCGGCCACCACTCAGGGCCAGGGACCTCCTCCCTGCACCCCCAACCCATGCGGGACCCACTCCGCCTGCCAGCCTTACCCTGGGGTGCTATTTCCCCCAACACACATACGCGACTGCTGTGACTGCGTCTGCGCGCCCCCGGCGGGGGCAGGGGGGCCAGGGCGGGCAGGTGAACCCGTGGCGGGAGAGGGGGGGTCCCCACGGAAATGGGCGGTCTCACCCCTCCGCCCTTCTCCGCAGCACCCCCCGCCCGCGGCACCCGTGACCGCCCCGCCAGATGCTGTCCCACCACGTGGTCGTGCCCCTGTTCCCAGGACCCCCGCTGCCGCCTGCCGCCAGGAGCCTCTAGCTCTGTCGCTTTTCTCTAATAAAGATTCACATCCACCTGGACTCCTGGTTACCCTGAGCATCCCGGTCCTCCGCCTTTTTCCTTTCCCCAACCCCCATGTGGTGAACCCCCGCCCCCTCATGTCCCCACCAGCGGAAGGACCCCCCCCCCCTCAAGAACTAGGTGGGACGGTGAGCTGGGCCGTGGGCCTGGGGAGAGGGGGCCCCTGCGCGGTGGGCCTGGGGGTCAAAGCCACCAGTACACAGGGCCTTGTGGTCTCTCTCTCTCGGCGGCTACAGTACAATAACTTCACCTGCACCCAAGGGAGCCTCCAGACCTGGGTGGCAAGGGGGGGGGGGTCTGGGCAGCCTAGGAACAGTGGGTAGTGCCCAGGAAGTGGGCTGTGAGGGAAACCGTGGCACAATGGAGGCCAGGTGGGTAGTGGAGTGGGAACAAAATTGGGGTGTGAGGAGGAGGGTGGTTCTGGGGGGTCAGGGAAGACTTGGCTATGCACAGGGTCCTTAATCGCTGGGCTCCTATCTATCCATCCATCCACCCATCCCTCAGTCTATCCACTATCTATCAACCCATTCATCTACCTATCTATCTATCTGGCCTGTATCATTTTCTCTAGCTTTCATTTATCCAAAGTTTTTTCTGAGTCAGTTGAGAGGCAACTACTTCTTTACCCTTAAATACCTCAATGTGGATTTCCTTAAAACAAGGGCATATTTTGAATTTAGCTTTGAAACAATCATATTATCTAATCTACATACTTTGAAACAATCATATTATCTAATCTACATACCTTATTAATAGTTTGTTAATCGTCTCAATAATGTTCTTTGTAGAAACCCCCCACACACACACACACACACACACACACCTGACCCAGGATCCAACCCAGGACCCATGTTGTGTTGTCTTACCCACTTCCATCTGGGACAGCTCAGGCTGTCATGACCTGGGCAGGTCTGAAGTGAGCAGACACTCTGTAGGCTGACCTTGACTTGTGCGATACACCGTCACAATCAGCTGGAGAGGCTGTGTTTTAGGGTTTGCATCCCTGGAAGTGCTGCTGTGCCCTCTTTGGCATCCAAATCTCCTTGCTCAAGAGCTTTCATACCCAGTATCCAGCCCTCTCCCCAAAGAGAGGTGCCTACCTTCTCATGCATTGGTCTTCTGGAGGCCAGCCCTCCCTGAGCCCCCATCCAGATGCTGTCTGCCCCATCTTGAGTTATCTCATTAACATAAACTCCTGAACTTGGCCTTTAGGTTGTTTACAATATTTTGCAATACAAACAATGCTACAATGAGTGAGTAATTTATACTTTTAAAAAAATGCTCCCTTGAGGGTATTTTCCCATTGGTTCCAGAGGTAGAGGAAGGGGGAGAGAGAAAAACATCAATGTGAGAGAGATACATTGATGAGAGAAACTTCCGTCAGTAGCCTCCCATACCAGCTCCACCAGGGATCGAACCCGTCATCTAGGTATGTGCCCTGACCGGGAATCGAATCCAAACCCTTTCGGTGTACAAGACAACACTCCAGCCAACTGACCCACCTGGCTGGGGCCACATATGTATTTTTTATTGTTGGAGATTTATCTTCAGGGGCAAGTTCCTAGAAGTAGTGTTGCTGCATTAAATTTTTTTAATTTATACAATTATAAAAATTTATAAATATAAATTTAAAAACAGCTTTTCTCAAGTTTTTTTAAAATTATTTATTGCTTAAAGTATTACAAAGAGTATTACATATGTCTCCTTTTTTCCCCCCGCCCTTGACAATCCCCTGGCCTCCCCTACCCCCCAGTGTCTTATGTCCATTGGTTATGCTTATATGCATGCATACAAGTCTTCGGTTGATCTCTTACCCCCCACCCCTCCTGCCCCCCAACCTCCCGGCCTTCCCGCTGTAGTTTGACAGTCTGTTCGAGGCAGCTCTGCCTCTGTATCTATTTTTTGTTTATAAGTTTATAATGGTCTTTATTATCCATAAAATGAGTGAGATCATGTGGTATTTTTCCTTCATTGACTGGCTTATTTCACTTAGTTGGTAAGAATTCCTTCTTTTTTACATCAACATAGTATTCCATCGTGTAGATGTACCACAGTTTTCTAATCCATTCATCTACTGATGGGCACTTAGGCTCAATTTAAAAGCTCCTTTATAAAT